CTCCGCAAAAAACCCGCAGCCGTAAAGCACGGCGGCGAAGTCTGGACGCCCACTGCCACGTGGCCACGGGTCTCACCTCCCTTACCCACCTTGGGCTTCTGTCCTCCATGGGATGGAACAGGTATAATCATGTCCCCACCCTACCTTCTGGGACCATCACAGAGATAAAAGAGATCATCTGTAGGAAGTACTTTAACCTCCTCTAAGAGATGCACTGAACTTACACAAGGTGTTATTAAAGTCAAGTGTTTGTAGATTGCAGATGAAAGGAAGCAGGTAAATAAAGAGCCTAAATATCACTCTCCCCAGAAAGAGTGAACTGGCAATTAGGGCAGCAGTGGGGGCTCCAGAGAAGGGATCAGACAGCCCCCTTCTCACTGCTGCTCTCTTGTCCTTTAGAGCTGCAGCCACAAGCTGCTACGCAGTTGATCTCCCCTTCTGGAGGAGGGCTGTAAAGAGAGAAGCAGTTGTTAGTAAGTCTCGACCCGTGCCCTTGATGCGAGGGGCTGTGTGGATTAAATACAGCCTCATCCACCCTGATGCCTCACACCCTCCGCCCTTGCCACGGAGCCCTTCCTGGCGAGTAGGTGTTCAGAGGCTCTTACATAATTCTGGTCTCTGAGCGAGTCCTACATCATGGCTTTGAAACAGGGAGGACCCTGGTGCTTCTTCTGCAAGCTGATATGTCTAAGACCTCAGGTTTTCACAGTCCCCTTGAGTTTTTACTAACTCTACCCCTGCCTTCGCCTACCTGCTCAAACGCGCTCTGACTTGCTTAACTGAGCAGCCTTATTTAACAGGAAAAGAGAAGTGAAGACGGTCCCGGGGAGAACTGTCAGGGACAGGGTTCAAGCCCCAGGAAGAAGACTGAGGAAGAGTCTAGGCCCTCCCCAGAGAAGCTTTATTACATGTTTCCTGCCGTCATCAGTGACTGGATCCTAGGCCCGTGTGAAGGGGGAGGAACGTGCGCGCTGTACAGGGCAGTGCTCCTGCCGTAGCTGTGCAGTCAGACGGGGCAGGGCGGCGGGCGGGGGCGTGGCTTCCTGCTCCTGGGTGGCTCTGAGGTCCTGCTGACAGACAGGGAAGCCTGGCAGGCTGGGAGGAAGGAATGTTCAGGCATCGGTGACCTCCATGGTCTGCAGCCGGTTTTCCAGGGTGACATCTTTTGCTGCCACTTTCTTTTTGCTGCCCTCATGTTGCTTCTTCTGCTTCTTGGATGGCTCCTGGTCAATGGGCGCAGGCTTCACAAAGGGGATCAGTTCTTGAAGTCCTGGACGGAAGAGCAAACCCAATGACCTATCATTTCTCCGAGAGTCGAGGGGCAAGGACCAGAGAGGAGAAGTCAACCAGACAATGATCCCTTTGAACAAGGGCGTGCCATAATGGACACTGGTTTTGCTTATTCTATTCTCCCCTGGCCGACTATCAGCAGCATTAAAATCTCATACCTGCACTGGCTACTTTCTCTACCAGCCCCTGCACTGCTCGGCACCAGGGGGAAGGCAGAGCTTCGGGGACTGCGTCTCAATAAGCAAGTCGGGTACATTCTGCAAGGGGCCTGCTGTTCGCAGAGTGTGAGGGCAGGAAGGAAGAGAAAGGTGAGCTGGGCTGGGAGTATTACCTGAAGGCATGAACTCCTTCAGTTTCTCGGGCACGATGATGCCCTCCTCCGTCTGGTAGTTCTCCAAGATGGCGCAGATGGTACGCGTCGTGGCACACATCGTGGCGTTGAGCATATGGACAAACTCCACCTGGGAAGAGCATTCCCGCAAGGAAGGTTACACTCGACTCTCAGCGGGCCTTACTAGTGACCACGACTTTCCCAACTACAACCGGCCATATCCAGACAACGGACTCTACTTGCTGTCAACTTTTTGCTAAACCTGACTCGGTTATATGACTGCCTACTGGTAACTCCGGGAGGATTCCTCACGTCTCCATGAGTGACCAGTGGGAGGCTCTAATATTTGGAGAGTTGGGGCCTTGGAGAAAAGGAAGAAACTACTACTGTGGCTTCTCCTTTTCATCCCTTTCAAGCCCCTGACCTGGAAATGACTAGGGCCTGAAAATCGGGTTTGAAGAGATAAGCTTACAACCCAGACCTTCTTGGGTGAGTAGAGGGAAGACACTGTCTCCAACTTGTTCTGTGTAGATAAATGGAGATTATTCTTTCTCTGGAGTTAGGAAAAACAAAGCCAAAAAGAGAAAAGCTAGAATTACCTTGTAGAACAGTGCTACATTCAGATTTCTATCTAAAAGAACTCCGCCCTGACTCAGTAGAAGTCATGTTCAGCTTTTCTTTGTGGTCTAGACTGAGAAGCTCAGATGTTCCCATGACATGGGGAACTAATGTCCTCCAAGCACTGGGAACAGACGGAGGGACTGTGTCCTGAAGGCCCTGCTTCCCACCTCCCCAGGGGCCGTCTACCTTGTCCATCATCTTCTTGGTCTGCCCGTATCGGATTCGGAGCCGGCGAGCCTGGTAATCCGTGCAATTAGAACAGGAGACTAACTCACGGAAGGCTCCTGAGCCCGGAAACCAGGCCTCCAGGTCGAGCTTCTTGCTGGCAGCGTGATTCAAAGAACCTGTATGGAGAAACCCCTAGAATTCATGAAGGACGGATGGCGTTTCAGAACCCTTCCCTTTAGTGAACCTGAATTCTTTAATTCACATCTTATCCCAGAAGTGATGCCATGCCCAGATACCCTTATCCCCAATAATCCCAAGTGAGAAGAGTGTGATATTTTAATTAACGTGGGTAATGAGTTGGATGGTGAGCTGTTTCTTTGTGAGGCAGCCAAGCTGGCGAAGGCGGTGTTTGTGGCATTGGGGGGGTGCAGGGGGAGGGGTCCCATACCTGAGACGATATTCACAATGTGGTAGGGGATCCCCAGAGACTGGTAGAACTCCTCCGCGGTGGTAATCATCTCCTCGAACATCTCCCACGACTTGTTGTCATGGGGCGATGAGTACACGAACTGCTCGATCTGCAGAGGGGGACCAGGGAGACAGTGCTGATGGTATGGGGTGGACAAGCTCAAGGACAGAAGTGGAGGCAGCCTTGCAGTGAAGACCTGTGCCACTGGGAGACAGGCGAGGCGAGGCCTCAAGCAAGAGGGATCAGTGCTCAAATGGACTGGGACTGTAATACGTGCAAATGCTTTTCAGGAAGTTCATGGGAAATGTGCATTATGAAAAAACTACACATGGGTTTCAACATTTTTTTACACCAAAATAAACTCATACTGTAATTCATTTTTCCAAGACTTTTTGAGGTCCTCTTGTGTAAAGAACTTACCACATAGATGCCATCTTCAGTTCTAAGTGAGTTATACATACTGCCTAGTCTAAGACCTGTAGCAGGTCCAGTGAGGTAGGTACTACTATTATCCTCCTGCTACAGAGGTGGAAACTGAACACAGAGAGGTTAAACACTCTGTCCAAGGTTACACAGCTATTAAGTCGTAGAGCAAACATCAGGAGCCAGACAGCCTGTGTCCAGAGACTGTGTGCTTCCCAGGCTCTGTCCCACAAACATAGACACTGGCAACGGGAGGAAAGGCTGGAGCCAGGAAGGGTCTGAGCAACACAGATCAGTCTCCCCTCTAACCTTCCTGGATAGGTAGACAGAAGGGTCCTACTTTTTACCCTGATCTGTCTACTCACCTTCTCAAATTGATGGACTCGAAAGATGCCACGGGTGTCACGGCCATGGGAGCCCACCTCCTGGCGAAAGCAAGTGGACAGGCCAGCGTACTTGATGGGCAGATCCTCTGGCCGGAGCCACTCGTCCCGGTGCAGAGCAGCGATGGGCTGCTCCGATGTGGCAATCAGGTATTTCTCATCATAGGAATTGTCATCAGACTTCTCACTCCCTTTGCCAATCACCTGTAGGAGGAGGGACCTGTGCCAGTTAGAGTGCAGGAGGAGGACCTCAGCTACGACAGGAAACCACGGGAGAGATGATGGTCAGAGGGCGGGGAGAATTCTTTTTTATTCTGTCTGAACATGGGGAAGGGAGATTAAAAAAAAAAAAAAAAGAAAGAAGGGAATAAGTCAGTTCAAAATGAGGTCCTTAATAGAGACCAAAGAAATGAAAATTAAGAGGAAATAATATTTTTCACTTATTCAAGAAATAAAACTTACAAATGATGTATAATGGTAGCTGTGCAATAAAACTGTGTTGGCTAAACGCAAATTAATCCACTCAACAAATGTTAGTGGGCTGGCTTCATAGCATAGAGGTTAAGACTGAGCAGAGGGGGACCGGCAGTTGGCGTAATGGGTATGTCGCTGGATTCCCACGTAGTCGGTTTGAGTCCAGGACCCGGTGGCTTAAACTCACACTGGGCGTGTGTGTGTGTGTGTGCCCAAGATCCTGAGAGGAGAATGGAGGAGAAAGGATTGCAGCGTGGCCATCCCCCTGGGGGGTGATTTCTCACTTTCCGTCTGTCTTTCTGGTGAGCACACATGCCCTATAGCAAACACCCCAACAACAACAACAACAAAAGACTGAGCAGAGGAAGTCAGATTTCATGTGGCTGACCAGGGTCCAAGTCCTGACCTGGTGTGTTTTTCATGAGTGTGCCAAGTGCAATGTGAGGAACGGAGGAAAAGGACTGCACATACGAGGCCCTGCTGAGGGCTTGCGTACACGCACATGCGGGTCCTGCATTTCTCCCTCCTGTGCATGTACCCTCTGACATTAAAACAACGAAACACTTAAAAACACCCCAACAACAATAGTAGTAAAGTCAACATAATTAAGATTAAAACAAAGTGGGCCGGCCTGTGGCCTGGTGGTTGGTGTGGGTGGCCAAGTACGAGGCTGGGGAGTCCTGACTCCACTGACAGCCTGAGAAACATGGCCACGGGGAGGCAGAGATGGAGGGGGATTGTTGTGTGGCCTTCCCCACAGGCAGTGCTTTCTCTTTCTCTCTCTCTCTCTCTAGTGAGTACACACACTCTCTGGTAAATTAAAAAAAAAAAAAAAAAGGCATGTTTGAAAACAAAAATAAATGTTTGCAAGGCATTTATTAAATGCCAAGTCTTCTTTGCCAGTGCTGGGCAAAGAGACATAGTCTCTGCTTTCCTGGTGTTTATGGGTTAGTCTAGTGGTTGTAATCCTTAAAGAATATAATTTAGGGGCCTGTGTTGGTTAGGCACTGAATTCTCACATTGGGAGCCAGTCGGGGGCATGGTGGTTAGGCACTGAATTCTCACACGACAGACCATGGTTTGAGTCCCAGACCTGGGTACATATGTCCAAAATTCTGAGAGGAGAATGGAGAAGGGAATGTGGTGTGTCCATCCCCCCAAGGGGGTGATCTCTCACTTTCCCTCTCTGTTTCTCTCTAGCAAGTGCATGTACCCTATGGCAAAAACCTGAAAAAGATAAAAAGAATATAATTTGCTGTTCGGCTAAAGAAAATGTGAAAAAAGAAAGTATAGATGGGACAGTCTGTTGTAATGTTATTTATTGATAGCAAAAAAGGAAAAAAAAAAAGCCGCCGCCTAAATATTTAACAGGGGAAGAGCTGACTATCCTATATGTCCAGCCAAGGTAACGTGATGACTAGGGGGTCAGCATGTGGCATATTGGTTAAGACGCTGGACTCCCCACATGGCCAACTGTGGTTTGAGTCCCGGATCCAACAGCTTGAAACTCATGCCAAGCACATATGCATCGCACCCAAAATCCCAGGAGAAGAATGGCCTTCCCCCTGGGGGGGGTGATATCTCACTTTCCCTCTCACTGTCTCTGTCTGTTTCTCCAGCAAGTTTACATGCCCCATGGAAAAAATCTTTAAAAAGGAAAAAAAAAAAAGATGACTAGGGTCAGCCTGTGGCATGACGGCTAAGGTGGCTGGATTTCACTTGGCCAACGCTGTGATCTGAGTCCCAGACTGTGATGTGAGAAACATACTGGGTGCCTGTGTGTGCCCAACATCCTGAAAGGAGGGAGAAGTGGAGAAGACGGGGTGCTTTCTTGCTCTCCCTTTCTCTCTCTTTCTGGCAAGTGCAATACACCCCCTGGCAGATTACAAAAAATAAAGAGACAACTGAAGGAGATTGGACACTGGCACAGAGGTACCGCAACACTCTGCAAAGCTGACCCAGAGACCTCCCTGAATATGCCAGGTGTGTGTGTGACCATGACTGGGGGCTGGCTGAGGTGGGGGAGACTGCAGCATGGTCTCATTACCCTGTTGACAGTGCTATCTCTCTGTCTCTCTGACTCACAGGAGAGAGAAATAAACTTAAAAAATAAGATGATTATGAAGACCACACAGTAACAAAGGAAAATGCTTCTAATACACAGTTAAGTGAAAAGTTAATCGTCTATGTCCACTGTGATTATAAGTATGTGAAAATGACTATGTATGAAAAAAATCCCAGAGAGAAAATTTTTAAAATGACAATCATTGCATTAGGACAATAGAATAGTCAATGATTTCTTCCTGCCACTCCCGGATTTTTCTGGGGCCCCAAATCTGTTTAACTAAAAAAAAAAAAAAAAAAAAAAAAAACACACACACAACAAACAGGGGAGGAAACTTCCTCTAGGCCAGCACTTGGGGAACTGGAAAACCGCTTTTCTCCTGGGAGGTTAATCCCCTGTGAGGCTGTTCACACAGAACACAGAAAAACTTCCTCTGTGGTACGAGCCACACACAGCCATTTAAATGAAATGAGAATTTACTTCCTCAGGTGCACGAAATAATCTGAGGTCTCGGCAGTCCCAGGCGGCAGTGGCTGGCACAGCGGGTCATGTGGACACAGAGCGCTTCTTCACTGCAGAAAGCTGGCCGGCACCAGGCTCTCGTCCGGAGCACGAGTGAACCGAGGCAAGAAGTGCTAGCCCAAATTCCTCACTTTGGAGACCCCTGATTCTTCCTGCCTGTGGCCCCAAGAAGCAACTAGTTACAACGTGGAGGACGCAGGAAGCACATCCCTGCTGCTCCCTACGACTTCTCGTAATCGTTCGCAGGCATTTCTCCCTCTCGCTACCTGTCCTGGACAGTTCTCATGTTTTTTTTTTTTTTTTTTTGGGAGATTTTCACTTTGG